CGGTGACAAACACATCGTTTTCGCCGTAGAGACAACACACGCGGTTCATCTCCCGATCGAAGCGCACATTCGCCGGTGCGGGCAAGCCCGGCAACCACCATCTCTGATTTCACTGAGTCATAAGGCCGGTGGAGGTGTGGTTTCTTTGCTTACCAAAGCAACGCTATAAAAAGGAGCTCCCGCGGGTTCGGTGTCATCCAGTGTCTTGTAACGCTGACTGGGAGAAAACGAGAGAGGTACTTTTGCTGCCATGCCCGAGCCGGCCAAGTCCGCCCCCGCGCCCAAGAAGGGCTCCAAGAAGGCGGTGACCAAGACGCAGAAGAAGGGCGACAAGAAACGCAAGAAGAGCCGCAAGGAGAGCTACTCCATCTACGTGTACAAGGTGCTGAAGCAGGTGCACCCCGACACGGGCATCTCGTCCAAGGCCATGGGCATCATGAACTCCTTCGTCAACGACATCTTCGAGCGCATCGCCGGCGAGGCCTCGCGCCTGGCGCACTACAACAAGCGCTCCACCATCACCTCGCGGGAGATCCAGACGGCCGTGCGGCTCCTGCTGCCCGGCGAGCTGGCCAAGCACGCCGTCTCCGAGGGCACCAAGGCTGTCACCAAGTACACCAGCTCCAAGTAAGCTGCCTCTGCGCCCTGCGCCGGATCTACTCGACCCGAAGGCTCTCTTCAGAATCACGATTTTTTTTTCACTTGAAGAGCTTGATCACCGGTGTTTTCCGACAGTTATTTAACATCTCTAAGTTCTGCTTGCATAGGGACTAGTTTTTCATGGGTTACTGCAGTTTTTTCCTATATCTAAGCCTGAAGTCTTAACCCGATGCTGTAAAACGCAAAATGACAGAGACTTCGGAAATGCCTGTCGGGGGCAGCAGGGGCTAAGGAATCGCGGCCGTTGACATGCGATTCAACTTCACCTATCTGAAAGTTAGTCCATTCTGAAATAAGGTACACATTTTTAAGGTTCACATTTTAAACACAAGATACTTTTTTTTTCTCGATAGGTATGACAAATGAAACAAAGCACTAAAAAAAAAAATCCTTAATAATTACTAAAATCTTTTTAAGACGCTTAAAACCTAAAGTTCGTAGTATGCGACTAGGGATAAGGTGAAGGAAAGGTGCCCTGCAAACAGCTGGTAATCAAAGCAGCACACAAGAGCA